CCCCTCCCCCACAAAACCTCCTTCCCCCTTTCCCTTTCCCAAACCCTTTTTTGAGGGGACCCCTACCCCCCCTTTTTTTTCCCCAAAAAAATTTTTTAAATGCTTCCCTTTATTCTACTTTGTTCCATTCTCTCTAAATGACCAGCCCATTCAAAAAACCCCCTTTCTTCCCCCTTTTGGAAAAAATTACTTTTTTAAATTTCCAACACCTTTCAAATTTTCCCACACTCCAAATTTTCTGCTAATATTTACACCACACATTCCCCTTTTAGCAGGCTTCCCCACTGCCCCCAAACCCGTTCCCTCGCTGTTTTCCATTTACCCCCAAAGCTTCACCCCTTAAAAGAGTTTTGGGTACTGCTTTTTTTCATACTTTCCCCTTTTTGCCTCCATAGATAACTTTTTTTCCCCAATTTATCCCTAAACGCACCACTAAATTTTTTTTTCCCCCTTTTCCCCAGTTCTGGGGTTAACCTCATCCTTCTTAAACCCAAATCCCGAAAAATTTTAACCCCCAAAGGGTATCGGGAAAACATTCCCCTTTTTCCCAAATACTCCTCCCCCCCAATTTGATAAAAAATTTTTTCTTTATCAAAATCTTTTTATCCCTTTTTTTCACCGTACTTTTTTTCTATGTTAACTTTAAAATTTTTCACAAAACCCCCAAAAACTCACCCAAAAAACCCTTTGAAATTTTTCTTTAGAATCCCCCAAAAAATCACAGTATCATCAGAAAAAAAGTAACTGTGTCAATTCCATTTTAAATTTTGGATTCCCCATAATTTAATCCCCCCCCTTTTCCCGAACCCCCAAAATTTTATTCTTTTACAACCCCCATCTAAAAATATATTAAACAACCTTGGGGGACATTACACATCTTGGTTCTAAGCCCTACTTTTCCCGGGAGGTATTTTTTCCCTCTCTTTACATCCCCAAAACCTGAGCCTCACTACCCTCTTTTAAAAACCCCTTTACAGCATTTGGGAAATTAAAAAATTCCCATAAACTTGAACATCTGCCACTTTTGTCCCTTTTTTTTTTTCCAACTCTTTCTTTATGTTTTTCAAAATCCTTTTAAACCCAATAAAAAAATTTCCCCCTACCTTTATTTTAAATATTTTCCCAATAAAATTTTTTAATGTAAACACTTGATTAACACCCCCTACCCACTCTGAAGCCTTTTCCCTCACCCGCCATCCAATTTTTTCCTCTAATTCTTTAAATTTTATAACCATACCCAATTTCTTTTCCTGGTATATCTCAGTTAAAAAAATTATTCCTCTTTTAAATTTTTTCCCAAACTCTTTTGTCCCCTTTCCCTTTATATAAAGGGATTTTACATGCTCTTGGGAAAACCTTGGGACCTTTCCCTTTTCATTTCATTTTTTAAAAAAAAAAGTACCAAACCCCTCCAACCTAATCCCCCCTGCTTTTAAAAAATTTTTTGTTCCCTGAAACCGTTCCCGTTCCCGCTGCTTTACCCCCCTTTTATTCTATTTTAAAGGCCCCCAAGGGACCCCCACCCCAAAATTACAAATTTGCCCCTTCTTCACCCTAAAAGGATGGGATCCCCCCTGGCCCAGTGCATGAAATTTTCCCCCCCCTTTCTTTTTAACATTTAAAAATTCCTCAAAATTTTTCTCGCCCCCTCTACCTAATACCTCCCTTTTTCCCCATTACCCAACTCCCCACCCGTTTTTAACGGGCAAATCCATTTCTTTCCCTAGGCTTTTTAACTTGTTTTAAATCACTCCAAAAAATTTTTTTTTTTTTCATTAAAATTTTTTGACGTGCCTTTTCCCCCTCTTTTTTCTGCTCTCCTTTTGCACTCTCTCACCCCTCTCTTTACCTTTCTTTTACTTCCCTATACTTTTGCTTTCTTTTTAAACCCCCTTCTGCCCTTTTTAAAAAACCTCTCGTAAGTACCCTTTTTTCTTTTATCACACCTTTACTTCATCATTCCACCAATCCTCCTCTTTCCTCCTTGGGCCCCCCCCCCCTTTAAAAAAAAAAACCCAAAATTCTGCCCCACTTCTAATACGGGATTTTTTAAAAAATATTCCAAAACTCTTCAACCCCCCCAAATACTCTTTTTTGCACTAGCCCCCCTTTCTGCCAGTAGTCGCTTATTCTCCCCGAACTTCCTCCTCCCCTTTGTTTATAAACTTTCACCTCCCTCTTTCTTGTTGTTGCCAAACCCTTCCCCTTTTCCCAAACTACCTCCTCTAAACTGTAGCTTCAACTAAATTAAAGATTGATATTCAGTTGCCCCCCTATAAACTGTACATCCTGGACCTACCATCAACCTTTTTTTCCACCAATACATAATCTAACAAACTATTTTTTTTACCCTGCTACATCATAACCCTTTTTATAAATTTTTTTTTTCCTCTTTTTCATAAAAAATGTATTAATTATTTCCCAAAATTTTTTTCTTTCACATAGCTCAAATTTTTGGTCCCCCTTTACCCTTTTTCCCCCGGAAACCCCCAAATTTTTCCTATTTCTCCCTCCATAAAAATTTTTACCCACTTTGCATTGAAATTTCCCCAAAACCCCCATTACTTTTCCCCCTTGATTCAAACTTTCCCCCCGCATTCTCTCAACTTCCCAGAATTTTTTCTCTCCTTACAATTTCTCTTTTCAAAGGGGCATACAGTTACTATAACCCCCTTTTAAAATCCCCAAACTTTTTTTTTACTCCACATAATCCTTGGAAAATTTTTGCTTTTTAGTCCCCTTTTTCCGGGCCCTAGCTTTTTCCTTCAAAATTATTGCTACTCCTTTTTTGGGTCTCTCTATTTGAAACCCTGAAACCCAATTCCCCTTTTTTCCTCTCCCCTGAAAAATCTCCCACCCCCTTTGGTTTGTTTCACCTTTAAAAACCCGGAAAAACCCGCTTTTTCTCATCCATAACATTTCCCCAATCATTTTTATTATATTTAAAATAAATATATATTTAAATTTTTTTTTTAAATTTTTTTATAATTTTAAGGGGGAAAATTTTAATTTTTAAAATTTTTTTACTTTTAAAAGATTTAAAAAAATTTTATTATTTCCCCTGGATATAAAAATAATAATAAAAAAATATTAAATAATAATAAAAAAATAAATTTTTTATAAAAAATTAATTATTTATTTTTTTTAATAAATAAAATATTTAAAATTTTTATTATTTATAACCGGAATTTTACCCTGAAAAAATTCCGGGGTTTAACCCCCCGCGGCCCCGGGGTACCCCCCTTGGTTGTGTCCCAAACACCCCCCAAAATTATAAAAGGGAATTTTATATAAAATTTTAAAATATAAAAAAAATAATGTTTTTTTAATAATTTTTAAAATTTAAAAAATGTATATATATTTATATATAAAATATATTTATATATTTTATATATATATATTTTTATATAATATTTTTTATATTTTTTTTTATATATATATATATTTTAAAAATAATACAATTTTAATTTTTAATTTTAAAATTAGGGCCCCCAAAATTTGGGGGCCTTGTTAAAAGTTAAAAAGGTTAAGAAAAATTTTGGTTTTTTGAACCAAAATTATTTATTTCCCCCTATTTCATAAATAAAAAATAATTTAAGTATAAAAAAATTTTAGAAAATTAAAATTTTAAAAGTTTTGTTTTAAATTAAAGTTTTATTATTAAATTTTATATTTTTGAAAAGTATTTATAATTTTTTATAATTAAATAAAATTTATTTATTTTTAAAATTTTAAGGGGTTTTTTTAATTATTATATATTTTTTATTTTTATATTTTTTTAAAATTTTATATATTTTAAAATTATATATATATATATATTTTTATATATATTAAAATATATATATATTATATAAATTTTTAAAATTTTTATTTTTTTATTTATATTTTAAAATAAAATATTATATTATTATATAATATATATATATATATTATTTAAAAATATGGGATTATAATAAAATATGAAAGAAAAAATTTTTGTATTTTATTTAAGTTTTTTTAAATTCTTTAATAATTAAATTTAATTAAAATTATCCCCCCAAATAATTTTAACATAAAAACATTAGGTTTTTGAGCTTGTTTATAAAAAGGGTTTGTGGAATTTTCTAAGGCGGTTTTAAAATTTTTGTTCCTTTCATTTGGGAAAAAAATTTACTTCTGGAGAAAATTTTTTGGTTAATTTTTAAAGGCCCCTTTGGGGTTTTTCTTTTAAAACCCTTTTTAGGGGGGCCTTTGATGGGTTTTATTTGGTTTGTTGTTTTTAGAAATACAAAGCGTTTGGAAATTTCACTATTCTTTCACAGTGGTTGTTTTGCAAATTATATATATATATATAATATATTATATATATATATTTATATTTATATAATATATACTATATATATATATATATATATATATATTATTGTAACCACGAAGCGAGTGGTATTGATCAATAACAATACTGCACAAGCCAAGGAGTCGAAACTATGCTATTGTGGCCCGCCTCATGGTGAGAGAGAACGCATGACGCTTTAGACCGCTAGACCATACAATCCTTAATTAACAATGGTGCATCCAGCCAAGCTAGATGTTGTACCCACCATCGAAGGACATACGGTGGTGTGGACGCTTGTTGGGCTAGTACACAAACAAGGAGTAGAATGGAATTAGCTCAGAGGCGTCCACACCACCGTATGTCCTTCGATGGTGGGTACAACATCTAGCTTGGCTGGATGCACCAGTGTATGGTCTAGTGGTCTAAAGCACCATGCGTTTTCTCTTACCATGAGGCGGGCCAAAATAGCATGGGTTTGACTCCTTGGCTTGTGTAGTGTTGTTATTGATCAATACCACTTGTTTCGTGGTATTTCACTATTTCACAGTGGTTGTTTTGCATATTCTGAAATCACCTGTTTACTGGTTTACTGTGATTTATTGCATATATATATATATATATATATTATATATATATATATATATATATATATATTATATATATATAATATATATGAGAGAGAGAGAGAGACCTTTCGGTGTATATATCTTGTCTGGAGAGACTATTGAGAAGTTGTTCATGCGGAACACATTTGTTCATTTATTGGTATAATTTTTTTGTTTACTCCGTAGTGAACCCTCCGTCACACACTACGAGGCCGCGGCCTCCCTGGTTCATCGCCACCAAGACCACCGTCAGCTCCATCACCGAGGACGACCCCCCCATCCCCTCGCCTCCAATTAAGGGTACCCCTGTTGGAGGCAGTGGGGGTGGTGGTGGTGGTCTCGGGGGCCCCGCTTCTGGCGACGATGGAGATGGTGGGGGGGAAAATGGCGAGAGTGGAGGAGGAGTAAAAGGAGGTGGAGGAGGAACTGGAGGAGGCAGCAGCGGGGAAGATGGGAACCTTAATTTGGAAAGCCGACTAAAGGGAACGCCAGTGGAGGACCTGCCACATACGACCACCTCCACGACCACTACGACTACGCTGCGGCCGCCTCCTTGGCTTATAACCAATACGACCAAAAACACCACCACAACGACAACCACTTCGACCACGACTTCCACTACTACCACGACGCCCAAGCCTGCCTCTTCAACGACCACCAAGCCTCAGACGAACTTGGAGAGCCCTGTGGTGTCGTCGGCGGCGGAGACGGGTGCAGGTAGCGCGGGTCGTGCTGACCATGGTGACACTGGTAGTGACAACGACAACGTGAAGCCACCCAGGAAGGAAGACGGTGGTGACGACGACCTCTTGAACAAGGAACACTTCCTGACATCTACCGTGTCTACCACAAGTAAGATGATCTTTGGTATAAACCTTAGTAACAGATACCGACAAATTTATTTAACAAGACACGTGAGTAAACACTAGGACTTCTACGACAAGGCAACAGGAGGAGACAGGAGAGAGGGCTGGGTAGACTGTAAATTTTTGGTATGTAGGAAGACTTTTGACACAGTACCGCACAAGAGGCTGGAACAAAAGCTAGAGAAGACTTACCGGTAATGACAGGGAAGGCCTTCCCTGTGCAGTACTGTGTCAAAAGTCTTCCTGCACTCCAAAAATTTAGTCTACCCAGCCCTCTCTCATGTCTCCTTCTGTTGCCTTGTCGTAGAAGTCCACTGGGACCGAAACGTTTTCTAATAAATATGTCCTAGTGTTTACTCACATGTCTTTCTAAACAAAAGTCGGTCATTATGAACACACACATCACGATGCATGCTAAATAACACCTCTTTAAGCAACATTTGACTGTAATGTTCCTTCAGTAGTATATATCAATGGTCTTAAGAGTCTAGTTAAAATTTAAGTGTTCGTAAACCTAAAATAAGAACCGGTAAGAATAACAGATGAAATATAAATTAATACAAAGTACTTTGGCAGGTGGAATATCGGACGAGAATGTGTAATTTTGTAAACAAAGTCTGTATAGGGGATCCAGTTCTGACATCAACGCTGACAGCGAACTCCATGTAAAATTTATATTCCTAACTTGCCATCTGCCAATGGAATGCGTTATTTACTATGGCGCATTTCGTTCATTTTAAACAATAATAGGTACATTTTGTTGGAGAAAAAGACGAGGCTATGTCAGTGGACTCCTGAACACTGTAGAGCACGTGCGTAAAGGTACGATAGTGGGATGCACTATTTATAATGGAATAGTTCACCAAGGGGCGAATGTTAATTTTTACCTGGGTCCTCGAACCGGAAGATAACATTTTGCGCAACGAAAATAAGTAAAAATGTGGTTCTGCTAAGGAATAAAAGCTTAAGCTCGTCTATTTTAAGTGCTTTAACCTGCTCCCTGGCTCCCCCACTTCTTCCAGCCTCCCCGTTGGTTCGTCTCTTATGCCTCCTTGGTTGAAATCACTGCCTCCCTGTGAGATCATCCACGTTTAACAACTCAAAATGTTCCATCTCTCCAATATCTCCACCTAACATCTTAATACAGTCACTACCAGAGTCTATTTTCTCAACAGGCTTTTTCACTTTTCTTTTCAAAACTTTTTGCTTAGCAAATTTTGATAGTTTCCTTTTTTTTCTCTCTCTCTCTTGTTTTTCTTTTATCACTATTTTTCATTATATACTTTGTATAACCTTTACCACACATTTTACCTCATCATTCCTCTTTTCCCACATTGACCTAGTATAGCCAGTCTTTATTGTGCAGCGTAATATTTCATTCTTAAATCCACACCATTCCTTCTCTTCACTTTATCTTGTTCTAGCTCACCTTTGTCCCAACATTTGTTCTTATCTCTCTCGAACCCTCACCTTAAATTCAATAACAAACTGCTCTCGCTATGCATTTCATCATACTTCGTATACGCATTTATTATCCTCTTAAAAATACATTATTACCAAGACTTGTAAACACATTGACTTTACCCCTGTCACTCCTGAACTCTCCTGCAACAGTAGTGTCTTCCACTTCAGTAGTAAGAACTCACAAAACTAAGTACTTTCTTACTCGCTCATTAAGCATTCACTTAACACCTCCCATAATTTGTCTCTATATACTTCTTTCCTAAATCTTTAAATGCTTCTAATCCACGTCTTACATTCCAGTCTTATTCTTACCCACAATTTTTTTTAATCTAAACATTTATATCCTTCTCATCCCACATTTCCCCACACCGATTCAATTAATATTTCCGTTATGCCTTACATGTTTCTAGTTCCCTCAGATACACTTGATTTAATCCCATTTACCTCAGGCTGTTCAAGCTTTCCCATTATTCTTTTCCTTTTCACTTAATCCTAGAACATCTAGCTCGCTTAATAACATTATTGTAGCAATGGAGTTGTTTATAATTATGGAATTGGCATAGAATACCGACAAGTTGATGAGTAGGACACGTGTGTCATATTAGTCCACTTGTCGGTATTGTATGACATTGACACAATTATAGACATGTGACAGAGCACCACAAAGGTATATTGGTATAGAGGACATCTTCCCCAACTTTATTAAACTGTTTAACCAGTAGTTATGAGTGAGAAAGGTTGGATTGGAGAGGGACCTGCATGGGCCAGCAGGCTGTTGCAGTGCTCCTTAATTCTTACATTCTTGCTTCTAGTGGACACTGCTTCCTGTGACGTCTGAGATTTTCCGCACCTCACCTCTTTCAACATATAAGCCTCCATTCTCATGTTTCAACTTCAGATTATTCCAGACAATGAATCTGAACTCTTCTCTAGGCTGAGGGACTGACCGTCTCAAGAACTACTGCAAGGTTGATTGACTGATCACATCTTCACCTAGACACTATTACTTCTTTCTTCATATATAGTCTCTGCATTTGACTGTAGGGGAAACGATTGAACAGTAAAGTTACCCAAGTGTTGCACATGTGTCTTACTCAGTAGAGTTGTTAAGTGGAAAAAACTGCCAAGAAGCATTAATGAAGCTAATACCTAATGTAGCTTAAAAATAATTTAGACAATATAAGAGAGACTGGTTAGGTTAGGGAAGGGCCTGCTTGCCATGGACTTTAGCAGTGATCCTTTATTCTTATTTCTTAAGATTCGAGCATAGAGAGACAGACTGGGTGACGTTGAAAGTGTATTCTTCAAAAATATATATCGTAGTACCGAAGCTGGGTGGCTGGCGGACCATATTTCTTTCTCGTTACTGTGTCTGCCTTGGGGGTCCGGCACAGCAGCGCCTGGGTGAGGCTGCAGGGATGTTTCACAGCATTGTCAAGGTGCGGCACAGCAACATGGACGAGAGGGCTATTAGTTACTAAGGTATGGCCGAGTATGAATCACTATCACTGCATAGTTACTGAGGGGACAAGTTGCTAGAAAACACTCTTGATGATCGGTGGTCAGTTATTGTTGTGACCTGCTTTGAAATTTCTTTTACTCTCGCAGCTCGGCCACAGGCCACGCTGTCTTGTTGACCATCTGGTAAGTACATATATTCCGTATCTTAATGAATAACTTTCAGCTTCAGTGACGTACATAATTTTTTTTATCTTGTGTCAACAGCCGTGTGGTCAGCGCGGCAGAGGTACCGACAACAGGCGCCGGCCCCATCAGTAGCGATGCATCTTGGTGTCCCCCTTCGTCAGGTCGAGGTCTCTTCTGGAACTGGACGCAGGGTGGGGATGTGGCAGTGCAGCCGTGCCCCGGGGGCGCCTCAGGATGGGCGCGGCGGCCCTGTAACCCCTTGGGGTGGGCGGGTCCTGCTGATCTGAGTGAGTGTCGTAGTGTGTGGCTCACCACACTCACGTCCCGTGCTCACGCCAATGATGCAGTGCTGGCTGTGGCTCATGACCTGGCGGCAGTGACAGGCTCCCGGGCACTGTACGGTGGCGACGTCACTGCCACTGCCAGGTTGCTAAACAGCCTGGCACACCGTATGGCAGGCGATGTCAACAACTTCCCCGACGGTGACCAACGCGAGGCACTAGTGACAGAGCTTGTAGGTGCCGCTGTCGCCACGGGATCCCATCTTGTGGGTGGTCAGCGGGCAGCGTGGGCGGACCTACGTCCCCCAGAGCACAGGGCGGCTGCCACCGCCTTACTATTGGGGTTAGAAGAGGCAGCTTTCCTATTAGCCAATAATCTGCACCACGAGAAGACGGTGAAGCACGCCGAGACTAATATATGTGAGTATCCAGGATGTGGTGTGACCAAGCCCAGCATATCCACTCTGGCTAGTGTTTATCACCAATATTGTTTATTGTTATATATTTAATCACCATGGTTTTCTCCCTAAAGCTTTGTAATTGCGTGACTTTGTTTACTCAGAACAGCTCCTTACAGATACTGAATCTAATTGTGTGTGTGTGTATGTATCCCTATATGACACTATGTCCAAAAATGTTAGATATTTCATAGAGGCTGACTGGAGGTTTGAGATTTTCATTTATAGTATTAGAATACTTCACCCAGCAGGAAGGTATATTCACAATCGCCGGGACAAATTATTGAGATATTTTATATACTCAAACCTATTGATACCTTTTACCCAAGAATAGTTGATAGGAAATCTAGGTGATAGTTTATGTAGACTGTCAGTCTTTGCCAGACTAAGAGATATTTCAGTGGGATGATTAATCATCACTAGGTCACACTGCTAGGTTCCACATTTATCATTTATTTATTGTAGATCACACGTCAGTCTCATAGCATGGGGGTCGAGGAGCACGTCTCGAGGACGACTACTCTGAGCGTACTTAGCCTCACCAGAGGTGTGCCGAGTGATCGGATTTTCCAAACACGACGCACGCACCCCCCCCCCTCTTCCCCGAGTGTGGGTAATTTTTATTTTTATTTTTAATTCTCGTGTATCAGTGTCCTCCTTAGTGTCTACGCCACCAAGGAGCCTGTGATCATTATATCCCTCTCTGCCAGTGGGGGATAAAAGGGATACAGCTACTCTTCCCAGCCATCTTGAGTTACACCTGCCTGGCAGCTGGTACTTGAAATATACACACGCATGCCTATTTGTTTACTAGGCCTCCGAGCATTGTTGAGTTTTATGAATGTTATAGTAACTGATGTTCTAATATATTGAGAGGGACTAACACTCACCTTTGCTAGCCAGCTGGCAAAAGTGCCCCAGGGCCAGCCGGTCTGTAGGCCAGGCTGTGCTGTTTGAATGCCTGGGGGCATCAGTCTTGTATGTAGAAAGAGAACAGACATTGGTCGGATGTAATTTCTCAGTCAGGAAGCCCAATTAATTTAGTACTGCTCTTTTTAACGTATTAGCGAAAGACCTGGCACCTCTAGTATCATGTACTGTAACGTCTCTCTGGGTCATTAAGTACCGAGACTCATTTAAGAGTTAGTAGTGGATTTTCTTGACCTAAGCTGGAATCCACACTAAGAATGAGCTCTTAATTAATGTGGAGAACATTACCAGCGCGTGGTGTTCTACGAGTGTCGACTATAATGACTGACGACATAAGAATACGGCGACAGCTCTTAATATTTATTACGAACACAGTTGTATTATGGCCTGTGTACCTGGTCGTAATAGGATCAAAGTGGAACAGTCAAAACTCGAAAACAATATGACTTGTATTTTCCTTTAACAAATATAAACAAGCTGGTATTTACAGTTATGTACAGTTATGTAATAATAGTATATGTACAACATGGTGAACAAGGAGGCAAGAGCCAGAGAATGCATCGTGTACGACCAGTAGCCCCATATAAGTCAGTTCGCGTGTCACTGGTGAACCACGTTGCTTCACATTTTTGGCGGGCTTGTCTGTGATTGGCCAATGAACCGAGGTACTGATATAACGAGGGGGCCCCTTTTGATCGTTAAATCCTTAGCACCTAGTTCACTGGTTGGGAGGCAGATTATATAGGTGTGTGACATACACTGAATAAAATGTAACATACTCGTAGCATACCACACTTTAAATAGGATACAAGTTAATGGACGTCCTGTCATGATATGATGAACTCTAAGAGACCAAAGTACCTCCGGTGTTATTACACCTCAGGTGAAGGTAAAGTCTTGTTATTCCTTGCCGTGTTCATTAAATAGATTGCAATACATAATTCTGTACAAGGCAGGTGGGGACTTAATTGAAGTACAGCTGTGTTGGTAATGATATGTATTGTCATCAGATTCTAGAGCTGGTCAAAGTGTCGTACTTACAGTCGTATATTTACCCTCGCGTCAGCCTCAACTCCATCCAGAGGTCAAGTCCGCCGTACCATTAGTCTGGTAATGAACCAGAAACCAGATGTCAACCAAGGTATTATATTGGCAAGTGTAACCGTGTCCACTGTAAGTGTTTCGTTTACATGTCGAGGAAAGTGTTCATGAAATTTTTTTGCGAGTGTATGTTTCGTGCCGGCATGTTCTTGCCGAAAAAGATACTAATTAACAGTCAGTCAAGTATATCTACATGCACTCTATATATTAATACTTTTTCAATGTAAAACGCTCAGCATGAAATTCTACTTTTCTTGTTTTCTCAAAATCGTATTTTTTTTTTATGTTAATTTAGGTTAGGTCATATAAACATTTTAAAATTATATATTTAGCTACAAATAAGAAAATTGAAAAAAAAAGCAGTGATACGTCTGTTAAGGTGGTGGCCGGGGGGGGGGGGTTAGGGCGGATATGAAATGTTGGATGGTCAGTCTTAGTGCGACAATGGTCTGCTTCATAAGATGTGCGTCACACTGTACTTGATTCCGGGGATCATCGTCCTCACGGCCCGGCCCCAGACCAGGTCTCCTGTCGACTAAGATCGTAGTAATGCTGTTTATATATCTACTCTTCAGGTAGGTGAAGTGGCTTATAGTGTGGGCTGGAAGAGTGATCATGATAGTCTCTCAAGGTGTAGACTGCCTCACCATTATTCTTCCTGTCTTCCACTTCCTCCCCATCATCGTGGTGCCTTACCACTTACCCTGGTTCTTTCTTATTCTCTTCTTGGTCCACTTACGCCTCTTGATTAATTTTCTCATGATACTACTTCAGCTTTTTCTTTCCTGCGCTCTTCCTCCGCCTATCCTTCTTGTTCCTCGTGCGCGTCCCTTCAGCACCTCAGGTGGTAATAGCATCAGGCTCTCACGTATAAAATCCTGGGGAAAAAGTAGCGTAAGTTAAGGTTAGTGTAGGCTCCATTATGTGCTTGCTGGAGCTGCAGGAGCTCGTGCTGCTGGTGAGGGGGAGGAGGTAGTGGGGAGAGAGCTGGTGGTGTGGGGATATCTCTGGGCCAGAGTTCCATCCCCCCAACCCATGTACTGTGACGTCCACCCTTGTAAAAATTTTCTAATTTGCATAAAGCATTTTCTAAAGGAAGGAGGTAAAGTTATTTTTTTTTTTAGCCGAGGCGCAGTCATTCTTCATACTTGTTTTTTCACCAGAATGGAAAGCAGTTGTGTTGTTATTTATCTTCTAGAGTGAACAATATTAGTGGTGTTATCCATCTGGAGTGAATAGTGATGAGCAGGTGTAGTGTGATTCTTGGTGCCGGCGGGGAGACCACACCTTATTAAACACAAACATTGAGAAGACTAAGGTTTGCCGCAAGGCTGGTAGCTTAAGAACAAAGGTTAAGACCCGAGAAGAATACAAGAAAAAGTAGGGACATGATCACGGCATAGAATATCACAAAGTGGACACCAACACACCATTCAACCAGAAAGCGGTGACAGATAAGGCACTGATGGGTGACATGGCTCGCAGGGATGGTAGGAAACACTGCAGCCTCACAGTAGTAAGAGACGTTGAGCACACTTCACAGCACCGTAAAAGCAAAAAAAAAAAAAAAAAATCACAGCTTGAAAATATCAATGATAATTCCTCATAAAGGCAGCTTTAGTAAGTACCATAACAGCCTTGACATGCACCATAGCAGCTATGGCAAGTACCATGGCATCGGAATGGAAGCTAAAGAGCTCAGCACAACAACTTAAAAGATCACTGGCAACAAATTCAACAAGGTAATTACAGGGTACGTTCTACCACACCGCAAATCAAAGAGTCACACTGTCTCCTTTCCACTCTTGCTTTCATCTGCCCCTCCTTCCCTCTCGCCCTTATGTTTCTCCCTCCCCTCCTTACCCCCTTCCATCTGTCCTCTTCTCTCTCCTTCCCCTGCCTCCCAAGTATTCATCACCCCTGGGATAATACATAAAGCAACTCACATTACCACAATGCTTAATGTTATCTCATCTCTCTCTCCTGTCATCACTTGGTTTATTCTTGTCGGGTTAATTCTTTATCTCACATGTCCTTGTCGGCTCGCTTCCTTAGCTCGCACATTCTTGTTTCTTCCTGTCGGCTCGGTTCTTGGCTCTGTCTTGTGTTGAGTAATGTCTTAGCTCTCTTCCCTGTTACTGTTTCTGTCTTTGTCAGTCCAGTTTTATAGCTCCCCTGTCCTTGTTTTTGTATATCTATTGTATATCTAGATATTTAACTTCTTAACAAATAAAACCCTGAGAGTAATAGCAGTAGTGGTAAGCAAAGTGAAGGCAGATGTTGAAACAGTGAAAATCTCTATTCTTCAAAGCATAGTGCTGGTCCCGCTTTTGTCTCATTCTTATAGCTAACATAGCCAAGGACATGAATTCTACCACCGTATCATCATTTGCTGTTGCTACCAAAAATTCTAAGTGGTGCCCTTCAAGGACAAAGCGAATCAAGTGGATATAAATAGTCTTCCAGTGGATCACAAACAACAACTTGATGCTCACTGAAAAAAAATCTCAGTTGCTCCGCTATGAAAGAATTGAAGACTAAAGACTGAAACGGAGTAGAAGACAAACTCGAATCATTCACTGGAGCGAAAGTCAGATAAGCGAGATTTACCTTTGATACACCTTTGTTGAATAGTCTTCCTACTCCGGGCCTTGGGCCAGTCTGGTCTCCTGCTTGCCATCACGTATGTATATTTTTATTTTGCGGCAGACATGTTGATGGAGGACAATAGAAAATGAACAAAGATTACTAGGTGAGGACATGAACTAGGATTACTGGGAGAGGACTTGAACTAGGATTACTGGGAGAGGACTTGAACTAGGATTACTGGGAGATCACATGAATTAAGATTACTGAGAGAGGAAATGAATTAAGATTACCGGGAGAGGACATGAACTAGGGTTACTGGGAGAGGACATGAACTAAGAGTAC